ATTTGTATGTCTTCTGTGGAAAAATGTCTATTCAGTTCCTCTGCCTACTTTTTAATATTTGTTTGTATCTTTTGTTATTTAATATGCATTCTTTACATATTATGGACAGTAATCCTTTCTCAGATATGATTTGCAAATATTTTTTCCCATTCAGTAGGTTGCCTTCTCATCTTGGTGGTGGTATCCTTTGTTGTGCAGTAGCTTTCTAGTTTGATGTAGCCCTATTTGTTTATTTTTGCATTTATTGCCATTGATCTTGGTGTAGATCCAAAATAACCTCACCAAGACCAATAATATCAAGATGCTCACCACCTATGTTTTCTTCTGGTAGCTTCATGGTTTCAGATCCTTTGTTTAAGTCTTTAGTTCATTTTGAGTTGATTTTTGTGAATGGTCAATGTAGAAATACAGTTTCATTCTTTTATATAGGATTGTTCAGTTTTCACAATACAATTTATTAAAGAGATTATCTTTTCCCCATTGTGTATTCTTGACTCCCTTGTTTATGACCTCATATATATGACTTATTTCTGGGATATTTTGTTTACTTGAACTCTTTTAATGCCAATACAATAATGTTTTGACTAGAACAGCTTATTAATTTTTTTAAAGCTTCTCTTAAATCCCTGCTAGCCAGAAGAAAAGAAACCTCACACTGAATATAAGAGTTACTCAGAACTGAAGCTTCTAATTAATGGCAGCATTTGTAGCCAGACTGTGTGGGTTCAATTTTTTGATCTGCTCATACAGCTAGATACTTGAAATCATTAATTTTCAGTTTTTCTGTACAATGGGTATAATAAAAGCATGTATCACCTACATTACCAGGAGGATTCAATTCTATCATTAAAGAAATATTTATGAATGTGGGGCCTCCCTGATGGCGCAGGCAGTTGAGCGCAGCGCTGCGAAGCTGTCCGCAGCCTCTGCAGTGCAGGTTTGAACCGCGCCGGCCGCAGAGATACCCACATGGCAGGACAGATCTCCCCTGTCTCGCCTGCTGCTCCCCTCAGCAGTGTATTTCACTCAGTCTGCCTGTTCTGTTCTCTGCTCTGTCTCTGGTGATTCCTCTCACCCTCCAGCACATCTGACCTGTACCCCGGTTATTGTATAAACAAATAAATCTTTAAAAAAAAAGAGAAATATTTATGAATGTTTATTCTGTCCTAGAAAATGTTCTATCAATAGTTCATAAGATCCCATAGAGAACAAAATAGACAATGGGGCTCACAATAGTTCGTGCTTACATTCTGCAATAATTGGCAATGAATAAGAGGCCAAAATAGACATAGAAATAAAAGTTCAATATATCAATATTATAAATATGTCAATTTTACCCAAAATTATTAATTTAAGACCATTCCAGTAACCTGCTCCCAGCATTCTTTTTGAAGTAGACAAGCTTAAAGTTCATATGGCAAAATAAAGTAACTGAAATAGCATGAAAAATTTTGAAGGAGATCAATAATAAAGGAGCTTGCCCTTAACTTTAAGAAAATATTTTATAGCTACAATAATTGAACTAGTGTGGTTTTAGTGAATGGATTGAGACAATCAAATTAACAGGCTAGAAAGTCAAAATACAAACATAATTAGGAATTTAGTGTTTGATGAAGAAGTCATTTTAGAGCTGTGAACAAAAAGATGGATTATTCAATAAGTTGAATAACTAGGTAGCTATTTGGGGAAAATGATATTTGATACATTTGTCCTGGGAAGAAGGAGCAATGATTACTTCTTTCCTAAGAAAAATATTAGTACCAAATTATGGTAAGCACAGAGGTTCTCCAATAGTGGATGGGGTTTAAAATGCTACCCTGAAAGGTAGCAGTGAAAAACAAAAGCTTAAACTCTCATTGCCAATCCTGTTTTTTTGTTTCTTTTGCAAAGCACTTTACTTTTTATTTATGGGAAATAATTTAGATATTCAGAAGTTATAAGAATGCAATCATAACAATCCATGTACCCAGAATTTCAGATTTTAAAAATAGACATCCCAAATATTTGTAAAGCCCATGTATACTATCTCTGATTTCTCTTCTTCCTAAGGACTTACCTCACTATAATGACAAATATAAAACCACTTCTTTAACATTTTATATTTGAGTTTTCTCCACGATATTTCATAAGCACTAGGACTTAATTTTCAATGTTATCTGTACGGATATTTTATTTATGTTTTTCTGTATTTATATTTCCATATTTTTAGTTGACATAGTAGTATATATATTTTTTTCTCTTTAATTAGCAATTCCCTGCAGATCAAGCTTCAGAACACAAGAATCTAACCCAGTTGAAACCATCATCATCTAGTTCAGTAATTAGAGTAACATCCTCACTGGACAGTGCCCCTTCTTCAATCTATTATCAGTACAATGACCCAAGAAATTTTTGTAAAATACATCAGAATAGTTTGCACCCATCTTTGAAATCCTCCAATGCTGCCAAATCTTCCGCGGTAAAGGTCAGAGACTTGGTAAATTTTACAAATACGTACCTACAAGACTCCCTCTCTGGCTTCATTTTTCCCCTCCTTTCTCAACTCCAACTGAACTAGTTTCCTTTCCTTTCCTTAGCCATACTGGACATTCCCTGCCTTGGGAAATTACTTGCTACTTCTATCTAGAATGGTCTTCTCCATTTACCCATATGATTACCCCACTTAGTCTCTTCAAGATGCTCACTTAAATGAAAATCTTATCCTCTCAGTGAGGACTTCCTCAGCCACCCCTAAACATTATTTTCCTGTCTGCATATTTTTCTCTTCACTACTTGTCACTCCTAACATATAACATAATGTGATTATTTATTTTATTTCTACTTTAAGCCTCCACTAAAGGCTTCAAGAAATAAAACATTTTTGTCCTTTTTGTTAATGGCCATAACTTTTGAATCTACAGCTTTTCCTGGTGTATTGAAGGTACTCATTAATTATTTCATGTCAGAAGTGAGTGGGGACTTCACATTCAACGTATTAACTAGAATTACTCATTTCAAACATTTCTCTATCAACTAACATGAACTGAGAAAAATGTATATATTTACAGTTTGGTGAACTTAGAGATTCTTAGTTACCTATTACAGATTTTTGAAGAAATCATAAAGAATATATGTCCCTTTAGGTAAAAGTTGCCAATATAATACAACATAGTATGAGAACAAGCAAATGATTGAAGGAAATTCATTCGAACTGTCCTTGTCTGACCCTCTCCTTTTTTGTTCCCATACCACAGTGTATTCCCACTTCATCCCTTGGAATTAGATTAAGCATTCTGTTGAGTAACTTTTAGTACCCTTGTGTGACAATTAGTGACCTCATACTGCTTTTTGGATGGCAAACAAATCCTGATTTTTTGGATGGCAAACAAATCCAAATTACTGGCACCTTGTTTTATATTCCCACCCTGAAAATGGATTCTAGCTTTGCCAGTTACCATCTTGCCAAGTAGCAGTGAGGTACATAACAAAGATAATTTTATTTTTGTTTGCCAAAGGGAACATTTTCTCCACTGGGAATGATCATTCTTAGGAAGCAATAGTTAGATGTAGCCATATGCAATCACGAATCCAAAGTATTTCATTTTATTTTTCTATTTCCAAAGATACATTGACCTTATGACAAAAAGGATAATGTTTTAAGAGAGTATCATTGTTTAACGATCATTGTTTAAGGTATTTTGAAATTGTCTCCAAAATTTAACCATGAGGAAATAGAACAGCAAAGTAATAAAAGAAGCTAACATTCACTGACTGGTTACTCAGTAATGCCAACATCCACTTAGTAATTTATTTGTGACACCTCATTTTATTCAACCTAATGATGCTAGTACTATTTTTCACAGAAGCAGGAAAGAATCTCTTAGAAGTAAATAACTCAGCCATCTTGCAAACTTGGGATTTAGATCATGCAATCAGACTCCAATCTCAGACTTTTTACTCTATTTAAGGATTGAAGTACAAATGTAATATACCTGGAAAAGTACGTGTTTTCTAAAACAATGCATTGGTACTTTGAAAATGTTGATTAATATGTTATCTTCCTCTTGATCCTTTAGACAAAACTGAGAGTTTAAAACAGCTTTATAAACCACAGGTGTGTTATATATGTTTTGTCATTTGTTTTCATCTATTAAGTATCTGTAGAGATTGATAGAATATTATCACTTTCCTTCTAAAATGTACATTTCTTGCACTTACAGTTTGAAAGCCTTATTCAGCAAAAGTAAACAGAATTTATTGTGCACAATAGGGGGAAAGAGCTAGTGTATATTTATGATTTGATTTTTTTTATATATGCAAGACTACTGAGCAGACTAGCACAAAAGAAGTTGCACTTAATGTAATGAATTGATCTTCTTTTGAAAAAGTGCTCCTGGCAGTCTCTTTGGGGAGCCCCTATTTTTTATCACCAAGTAACTTTTTCTTAACTGCTACATAATTTGAAAAAAGTCATTGCTATAATATGGTAGAAATAAGAACACATTTTTTATGAAATCACATTGATAAGCTGATATGTATACATTTATAATGATAATTACAAAAAAATAACCTACAGAAGTCAAGCAAGTATCATGAATGAGATGCAGTGGATCATATTATTGACATGATAAAACAAGTTTATGCACACACACACATATACATACACCCCATTTATATGGTATTCATGACAGGATATACATAAAAAGAGATTAGGAGTCAAATACTCATGTCTTTGGTTCATGATCAGTGTAAATGCTTTCATTAGCTGAATGGTGAAAAATTTCCACTAAGTCTCTCCCCCTTCTCAAACTATATGCTGTATTTTTAAGATTTTGTAGTATCTCTAAAAATATTTGTAAATAATGCCATCATTTAGGGCACCACACAGATAAGTCTTTGAATTGTGCTCTCCAATTCTTACAGTTGGGAAAATCCAGACTATGTATGACATCTGCTTTTTTAACCACCTTCACTGAGTTTTTCTCTTTGTATGTGTGTATGTGTGTGTGCTTTTGTTGCAGAGAAGGCCAGCAATCACCAGAACAATGGCAGAAGATGTATGGTAGATGCTCTGGGAATGAAGTATACCACATTGTTTTGGAAGAGAGTACATTTTTTGCTGAATATGAAGGAAAGAGTTTTACATATGCCTCTTTCCATGCACATAAAAAGTATGTTTCTGCTTCCCAAGTATTACAGAATATAAACCAATTATATCTTTTAAACAGCTTTCTAAAATACAGCCCATATTGGTACTCATGAGTTACAAGTATTCTGGGTTTGTTTTTTTTTGACATGTTTATAAACATTATAACTCTGGCCTTTTTTGTGGTCTCCACAAGTTAATATTGTCAGGTGTAAAGTATAATTTATTAGGAACATTTACTTTAGTAACTTTCAAATTGTCTTAAAACATTTTAATCCAAAATTCACAATTGTATGGCAATGAATCATCAATACACATCTAAATTTTAAAGTGTTGATTAAAACTTTAACAAAGTTACAATAACATTTATAAAACTAGACTTTCGTTAAAACTTAGTTTGACCAGAGACAGAAGTTAAAAAATAAATAAACATTAATTTCCCTGTTCTTTTAAGATAAATTGTTTACTTAAGAAGTAAAAGTAAACTCTTGTCATGAAAATAACATCATCAGTATGATAAACATATTAATATAACATATTTTGGGGATTTGTATATACTTAGTGTATTCCACAAGGTATTCCACTTCAATTCTCAGTGTGATTCTATTTATACATATGAATTTTCTCTTTAAAATTTTTGTAAAGTTGAATTACTTATAACCTTTATAAGACATATTAAATAAAACATTACAGGATAATTTGTGTTTGGGGCATACCCTATGAAAGTATATAAGAAATTTTCAACATCTGTTTTATCCAAAGATTGTTACTAAGTTGCACACTTATTCAAGTCTATTTTAAAAACTTTTATCCAAAATTCAGAGTAAACCAAATATAGTAGAAACAGAGCAACAAAAAATTTAGGGATCCTGATTCTTATGTTACTTTGGAAAGTTTCTTCTACTACACTAAGCAAATGGTTTTCAAACTTTTTGGCTAAAGTAAGAAATACTGTTTACATTTTTGACCAAAGTATTATATATGTCATGGTGAGACTCAGTACATACAGGCAAAATTTACAGGAAATTATTACCCTTACTAAATAATATGCATTCATATACTTTCTATTTTTATATTCTATTCTGCATTAAAAGCATATATCATAATCAACTAAATTGATTTTACAACTTGCCAAATATGTATTTCTTTTCCTGTAAAAGCAAGTCCCTTGAATTTTTATATATGTTTTCAAGCTTTAAAGTACTCTGATGTGGGACTTTAATTTTCTCTGCCTTATCATAGTTTATTAATTTTTACATATGCAAACCTAAAATAAACAACTAGGACCTTTGCTGAATTTTAATTCTTAAGCTCCTTTATTTTCTTTTTTAAATTAAGGTTTGGTGTCTGCTTGATTGGTGTTAGAAGGGAAGATAATAAAAACATATTGATGAATCCAGGTCCTCGATATATTATGAATGCTACTGATATATGTTTTTATATTAATATTACCAAAGAAGAGAATTCAGCATTTAAAAACCAAGACCAACAGAAACAAAGCAATGCATCAAGCTCATTTTATCATGGACCATCTAGATTACCTGTACATAGTATAATTGCCAGCATGGGTAAGTATAAGGAAAGGAAAATACAATGAGTTTCTTTCTAAAAGATAGTAAATGTATTTGAATTTTTATTAAAATTCTAAAATCAAACTTAACACGTATTTGTATATATTGCAAACTTGGTATAAGTAATTATAAAGAAAAAAATTCTAAGTTTGTAAGTCTGTAAGATGTTTCAATAATTAAACACTACCAACAATGACTTTATATTTCTGATCAGAACATAAGCACATGATGCTTTTATATTTCTTACTAATTTTGGCTAAAAAACAGATATGATAATCCTCTAATTTGTCACAATTCAGTTACTAAATTCTGTTAAATCTGATTCATCTCTCTGGATGTCCACTCTTTGTGTTGCAATAGTCTACACTTCCTTCATCATTCCCTCAACTACAGGATCCATTACAATTCTTACCTTTTCTCTGCTTCTAGTCTTGTTGACATGCTTTTCTCACCCACATGAAAAGGAAATAAGCGTTGGGATTAAAGGATAAACAGTAATATATTTCTGCTTGTACTGATTTTATTTCATTTCACTTTGATCAGTAAGTGATTGATATACTATATAAATGGCAAATGCCTTAATGGATATTCATGTTTCATTGTTTTAGGTACTGTGGCTATAGACTTGCAAGACACAAGCTGTAGATCAAGTGGCCCTACCCTATCTCTTCCTGCAGAGGGGAGCAAAGAAGTCAGAAGACCAAGCATTGCTCCTGTTTTAGAGGTTGCAGATGTGTCATCAATTCAAACATGTGATCTTCTAAGTGATCAATCAGAAGATGAAACTACACCAGATGAGGACATTTCCTCTAACTTAGAGTATGTTTATATACTCTCAGTGTAGATTTAATGGAATTTTTGCTTGCCATGGAGAAACAATGTCCTAACCTTCTAGGCATTCTACAATCATATATACTTCTTCCAAAACGCCCTTCCTAGTAGCCAGTATCTTTCTTGAGTATATAGCATTCTAAGCAAACACATTCCTGACATCAGTATATATTGATACTTTCTTTTTTCTCTAAATTGAAACATAAGTCAGTATTTCCACAATATAAATTACATTATCATGTTTTTGTTAGATCGTATTGTACCTTCTATCTTTATTTTCTTCTACCTCCATATTGAAGTTTAATTACTTCATAATAACATAATAACATAATACAACTTTCTCCATTGTTTCTTCTGCTTATCTCAACATTGAGTAGTCCTTTTTTTTTTTATAAGATTTATTTATTTATTTATTTATTTATTTATTTATTTATTTATTTATTTATTTATACAAGCACTGGGTACAGTCAGAAGCGCGGGAGGGTGTGAGAATTCACCAGAGCCAGAGCAGGGAGCAGAACAGGCAGAAGGACCAAAGTACACTGCTGAGGGGAGCAGTGGGCGGCAGGAGAGGTCTGCACGCCATGTGGTACTCTCTCTCACCAGGCAGTCGGGGATCGAACCGCGCTGCAGAGGCTGCCAGCAGCTTCGCAGTCCAGCGCTCAACCGCTGCGCCACTGGGGAGGTCCTGAGTAGTCTTTTTTTATATACTGTGTCAATAATATTTTGAATTAATGAAGAAGTGATGTATTTGTTTTTTTTTTTCTAAGCTTTCATCACATGTAGTACCAATATGTATATGCTATTTATTACATTTTAGCCTTCAGTAGAGTTTGTTGACTTATCTACATGTTATACCATCATTTCTTGAGGGAAGCACAGTGGTGAATAGTGTTGACTATGGAGTCTGAAAGAATTTGCTTCCAATGACATTTCCAACCTATACTGGTGTGTGCGAATAACTTTGATTAAACAATCTGGTCCACAATTTCTCTGTCTGTAAAGTGAGTATAATTACACCTGGTAGTGTTCCTATGAAAATTAATTGAGTTGAAAAAAGTATACGAAGGATAATGCTTTGAACAGAGTAAGCTTTAAATGAATATTAATTACTATTATGTGCATTAACCAGTGATAGTGACAACATTCAAATACTTCTCCCAAACTCTTTCATATAATTGATGTTCAATTAATGACAATTTCAACATTAACTGAAATTTAATTAAAATTTGCAAAGACCCTTCTTTTATTCCTTCACACTTAAAAAAAGAATTTCTACAAGAACTTTGGTGCAGCCACAGAACACAATTCTCTAAAGAATCAACTGTATGCAAATATATTTATGAAATATATAATGGGAACAAATATATTTAGAAACATTTCTAAAAATGGTGATTTAGAATGTAACTGAAATTCTTGCTACATGCACTTTTAAAAGATTCAGAGGTTGAATTTTTATTTCCAAAAATGAAAAACATTTTGAAATAATAAAGTCCACTTCTAAATTTCTAAATATGCCTCATTTAACCTTCTCAGTTTATGATTTATGGAAAATAGTCTTGAATAGGTTTGAAATGTAAAGTTAACTTTTATTTAAAAAAGAGAGCTTTCATACGGGTAAAGGAATTTTACCTGTGTTAGATTTTCTTTGACTTATTGTCATTTATGTTGCTAATTTTTGATAATTTCACTTTGAAAATTCACACCAATAAAATATATGACTATTTTTATAAAGTCATCAATCAAACATAATTCATTTACTCCTTTTTTCTTATGTATCCAAGGCTAATATATCCATTGATAATGAATCATAATGTCCTTTGCTTTAATATATTTTGTGAAAACTGTTATTTTATTTTTTATCATTAAATATATTTATTGTTATTATTTTAAATCCCTCTAAATTTTTTAGATTAAGACTTGGCAAATCATTTTTGGAAAAAAAGCAGTTCATAAATATTCTAGACTTTATGGACTGCGTGTTCTTTGCTACACCTGTTCAGCTCTAGTTTTGAAATATTAAAGCATCCATAGACAAGATAGAAAATGAATGCACATACCTGTGTTCTAAAGAAAACTTGTTTATGGGTATGGAAATTTGATTTCATATAATTTTAAAATGACTTGAAAATTTTTTTGAATTTTTTACAACCATTTAAAACTATAAAAATCACTCTCAGCTGTGTGGAGATTTCTGGACCTACTAAACATAGAGCTTCCATATGATCCAGCAATTCCACTCCTAGGTATTTACCCAAAGGACACAGAAACATCAATTCCAAAGAGCACCTGCACCCCTATGTTTATAGCAGCACTATTTACAATAGCTAAGCTTTGGAAACAACCCAAATGCCCAAAAATAGATGACTGGATCAAGAAGATGAGGTACATATATACCATGGCATATTACTCAGCATTCAAAAAAGATAAACACATGCAATTTGCAGCAACATGGATGGCGCTGGAAGGGATCATGCTCACTGAAATAAGCCAGAAAGAAAAAGAAAAATACCGGATGGTCTCACTCATAGCAGGAATCTAGAAAACTTAAATAAGGGACCAGGAAAATGAATAACTATAAGAAATGAAAATCAAAATCAACAAAAAACTATGAACCAGAGACACTCTATGGGGGTTAGGAGGCGGGAGGGGAGGGATTGGGGTCAAAATAAGGGGGTTGCAATTGTATGGGGAATATAAAAATAAAATTTATTATTAAAAAAAATAAAAAAAAAATCACTCTGAGTTCACAGATGGTTCAGATTTGGTCCTTGGACTCTTGTTTCCTTACCCTGTTCTAAACTCTTTCCTTTTCAAAATGTTACAGCCTCTAGCTTTTTCAAAATATAAGTACATGACTATAATTTAATTGTCCAACTTTGCATGCCTTATTCAAGACATTTTACAATTTCAATTTTACAGATATGCTAAAGGCTACCCACCCTACTCTCCATATATAGGAAGCTCACCCACTTTTTGTCATCTTCTTCATGAAAAAATGCCATTTTGCTGCTTAAGATTAGACAAGGTAAGTACTTGTTGCTGTTATTTTTCCAAAAATGAAATTAAGCCACTTTGCAATTGTATATATTTAAATAGTTTTTTTTTAGTCTTTTGACTCAAATGTTTAAAAAGCACTCTTTTCAAATGTAAAGGTTATACATAAATTGGTGAATTTTACTTTCTTAACTATGCTAAAGATTACCCAGATGTTTCACACCACTAAAGTCTCTAATGAATCAGTGAGTTATATTTTTTAAAGAAAACAGAGATGCCAGAATCTCCCAACAATGAACTCTCAACAACAGAGTTTCCCAAAATCACATTGACCAAATGTGCACTGTTAATTTTATCAGGCATTTTTGCCATAAATCTCAATGTGGAATTGGTTGACATGATGAAATTAGCTGATCTATGTTAGTCACAAAGATTCATTATTGACTGGACTGGAAGCTAAAATAACATGATTCTTAATATCTCCTAAATATTTACTGTAATGCTTGGCTTATATCTGAATATTCTAGGGAAATGAAGCAACACAGAAATATTTCAAGAATGAAGAATTTTGATTCTTTCACAATATGGCCAGTGGGCTTGATCTTGAAGCGTTTATTCTTCAGAATAAGAAAGCTGATAAAAAAAATTCTCAAATCCCAACTGCCAACCCTTAGAAATTAAATTATGCCATGTTTCTAATGAGAAATGTCTTCCTAAATTGTCTTCCTAAATGTCTACTCTAAATTAAGTATTAGCCATAATTAATTACCAGTTCTCCATTTACAAGCTGTGCAATTTGGGTGAGTAATATCACCATTAAATTTCAGTTTCTACATCTGTAAAATGGTTGTGATTTTAATATGAACCTCATAGGGATCTTGTGAGGGTTATATAAATAAGCACATGAAAAAAGCTTCAGCTTAGTGCCAGAAGCTTAATGTGTGAACATTAATGTAATATACCTACTGCTCTTTTGTTAATATTCTAGTTACTGTTATTTTTTTCATATGGTAAACATAATAAATCTTGGCTGTTGCTATCACTCTTGAAGAAGAGTAACAAAACATTAGCAAATTTCTGACTTAATATTCCTGAAGTTGTTTTTGGAATCTGTCATTGCTCCTAACTATTTATCTGGGTCCATTAAAATGGGCAGTTCGTCTCACATTGCCTTATTTTTTTTTTCAGTTCCTTTTTATTTTACTGCTCTGCAGCATTTGATACTGCTAGCCAACTGTGTATTTCTCATAACAGTAGTCTTAAGCTTTAGGACCTTTCGCCTGTATTGGCTCACTCCAAGTTTCTATTTTTTATTTATAGTATTTTTGTTACGTGAATTTTTCTAAAATAATTCAAGTTTTCAACCCCACAAAACCTGAATTCACTTCTGCTGACACTTTACTTTTTAATATACAATTAAATTAAAATAAAATAGCTGGAGACTAAATGAAGAGTGGAAATTATTAACCTCCAAGCAAAGGATCTGATACATTGGAAAGGCTAGGCCTGCAGAGATGAGGATTGATGGAGTCAGAGTTCTTTTAAAGTCAAAGACTAGGAATTGTCTCTTTATCCTATTAAGAAAGCAACATTTCTGACTATTACTGACTGACTGGTGACTTCTAACTGGATGTGGTCTGCTGTGTAAATGAGTGCCCACTTTGGGATTAGGGATGGGATTCTGCAGGAGTTGGGATTATGTTGTCCAGGCCATTCTGCATCAATATCAGCGGTAGATTGGTCCCTGACCAAAGTTCATCAACACTAAATTCCCTGTCCTCTTCTAATTTTTTTGTGTCTTATTAGTTGAGTTACTTCTGAGACGCCTAAAATTTTTTCCCCTCATTTTATCTCATAAATATGGAAGCTCTTATTAATCCCAACATCATCTGGTCTCTTCTCCTTCTATGACCTATTTCTAAATGATCTTATTCCTTCATTTGTTTTATTTTAATAATTCTCCAATCATAATCCCAATAAAGAGATTGCCCTTATTTATCATTTGCCCTTTTCACCATTTTTTTTTACCTTAAACATTCTTTCTGGATTCATTTTCCTATAGCCTAAATTAAAGTATTTAGAAATTCTATTTATGGGAATTGAAATTTCAGTTTCCCTAGAAATGTCCTTTTGTTTTACTTAATGAAATACAATTCTGCTGTGTATTAAATTCCAGGCTATCAGTTTTCTTTCTTTTTTAGCATTTTAAGATTTTATATGCTGCCTTTTGGTTTACATGTTGCTATTGAGAAATCAGCAATCATTTTAATTTATATTCCTTGTGGATAACCTCTTTTCTTTCTGGCTACTTTTAAGATCTTCTCATTGTTTTAGTTGTTCTGCACTTGCATTATAATGTGTATGACACTGGATTTCTTTTTATTTATTTGGATTAGGAGTCACTGGATTACCAGAACCTGGGGATTGAGGCTTTTCATTAATTCTAGAAATCCTCAGTCAACATTTACTTGAATCTTTCTGATTCTCTCATCTCTTTTTCAGGTATTCTGATTAAATTTATGTTAGACACTTTCACACTATTTTCCAAGTATCTTAGTTTTTCCATCCTACTTTTTTCTTCTTTTCTAATATGTCCTGCATTCTACATAATTTCCTCAACTCTTACTGTGCCGTTGATCCCTTCAGCAGCATCAAATGTGAGATTTTACCATCTTTTGAGTTTCTATTTTTCAATTGTATTACTTTTTAGTTCCAAAGGGAGTGTGTGTATATATATATATATATATATATATATATATATATATATAAACATTATTTGGATATTTTAAATACCTCCTCATTCCTTTTTCATACTTTATGTATTCCCTTTAATTTCTTTAAGCATAATAATTCATCTTATGTTTTGAATCTAAAAATAGAAAAATCTGCAGTTTTTGTGAGCATAATTCTATTCATTTTTTCTGCCGACTCAATCCCACCAGTGTTCTCTAACTTTTTATTAAAGAATAAAGGCAGAGAAATTCTAATCGGTAATGAATTACAGAACCAACTAATCTCAACCCAAATAAATAAAAAGAAACCCACATGGAGACATATAAAGATGAAAAAGCAGAACAATAAAGCAATTCTCTAAGCAGAAAAATGTAGTTTTAATGAATCTTGGTTTAATTAAGCTAAATCTAGAAAATTCTAGCCACTGCCCATAGCAAAATGCCTTCAGAAGAACAATGAGTTTTGCCAAAGTATAATATCAGTATCTTACTTTTAAGAATCTCTATCCTATTTTCCAGCTCAGGTATGCCTTTAGACAATTGGGCTTTTTTTTTTGTTGTTGTTTGCTTTTGTTTTTTAATGACAGCAGAAAATTCCTTTAGATGTATATCTCTTCGGGTTTTCAATACTTGGAATGTTCCAACATTATTATATTATGGCTATATTTCTGAAAATGGAACTCAGAGATAGATCCTTTTTTTCTAGTTTTATTAATGTATGATTGAAAACATTATATATATTTAAGGTATATAATGTGATGTCTGATCTGTGTATAGATGGTGATTATCTTTAAGTATAGTTACACAGTTGTCATCCACCAGCAAGTTTAGTTTACAATAGAACACATGTACTCATACATTGCTGACTTTTCCCCCCTCACATCAAGCTATATGGATGCAAATCATTTGTCTTGTCTATGTACACTATTATTTTCTAAAGTGGGCTGGAGAACTGGGCATAGGAAATGTAACTATTTTCAAATTTGTAGAAAATAAACGACTCTCTAGGTTAGAGTAATTTTCCATTTCCATGTATCCTACAGTGTTCACAAATTTCAGTGGATTATAAAAATGGCATTTTTGTATAATTTTTCTTCTCTAGAGTTGCCAGCATAACTACTATGAGGACGCAAAAGCCTATGGATTCAAAAATAAACTAATTATAGTTGCAGCTGAAACAGCTGGAAATGGATTGTATAATTTTATTGTTCCTCTCAGGGCATATTATAGACCAAAGAAAGAACTTAATCCCATAGTACTTCTATTGGATAACCCGTAAGTATATTTTAAAATACAGAAATGAGACAAAGATTTTTTAATATTATGTCAGAAATAACTTATTTTAATTTGCTTATAATACTTTAAATCAGTTACATTATGGCACATGATTCATCAGGAGATATATTCTGCAGGATGGAACAAAACAAAAATGGGATATGGTTATAGTTCACAAGTACTACTTAAAGCATCACTGGCATACTCTGAGCTTTTTATTTAAAACTATTTTGCAAATGGCCATCTACTCAATAATCAGTGGGAAACAAGCCACTGAAATAATTACAGTAATTTCCTTTAAATTAATCAACTGGCTTGGAAAATTCTCTGCCAAAACTGGACAATTTTGTTGTTTCTCTAAAGAACCATTAATTATCAAAGAAGTATGTTCATATTAATGGTCCACTTTTACATGTTATAACATGAAACATTTTCATAATTTATGGTGTTTCTTCTAGTAAAGCATACATTCTATAATGTGATATGAATAATTAATATTTTATCATGTTCATTTATTTTAAAATGATATACTTTTGTGAAATAAGACTAAGCATTTCCAAATCCTCATGCAAATACAAATATAAACCACTAAATGCTATGGTCAAATCCATTGTATCCTAAAATTATGATATTCTTCTCTGTGACTCAGAATTAGTAGCAGGTGGTTCTTAGATTAGTTCCGTACTTTAGGACCTTCCAACACTACTCTTTATTTATTTATTTCCAAAGTGAAACAAATTTCAGGATAAACTACATGAAACCAAAATCTATTGCCTTGCCTTTAGGCCTTTAAAATTTTCAAAAGAAAGTTCTCAAAAAAAAAAAGTCTCTAATATATTATAACTTCATTGCTTATAATATTCCTCTGAACATCATCAATATCATGACACTCACTGATGTATTTTTAGCATGATTATCACAATTATAATCAATTCTAAAAATGAGCATACCTGGAGAGGTTTTAGTTCAATAATTGTCAGGTCAAATAACTCCATTATTTGTTTGATACCACTTTGGCATATAAGGAAAGGTGAAGATTTAGATCCCATAGATACTTGGATCCAATGTGAAAAATAGAAACACATTATAACAAATCCTATGAGAATAAAAGAGGTATTGTGGCATGATCTCGGTGACAGAATGGTTGTAAATTGCAAACAGTGCAACACTTAATACCAAGACCTCCAGGGCCTTTAACCATATCCTTAATTCTTGAACTTTTCTGGTAGAAATCTCTGAGGGACTAGTGGAGCTGGGGCAAGAGAGATGCTCAGTTAATGATGTGAATTAAAATGTGTCAGGTCTTTGTTCATTTCGCTTATGCTGTGTTCACTCCCCTAGAAATAAGTTTTTAGTTATGAGCATTTACACACTGATTGCCTTAAAGCTACCCCATCTGGTATGACTTGGATCAAAGTGGATCAACTCATGCCCAGAATTCAAAAAAATAAAAAGACTTGGGATAAAAAAGAAGTGAAACTATACTTATATCACCCCTTTGGTAGAGCAAAGGGTTAAAACTGTGCTTTCCCCTGCTTTACATTATTTCAAGATAAAAATTTCTTGTGCTGATATGTAAACCTTCCAAAAGAATCAGACTTTCCAAAATTGGGAGTGGAGTTTGCTGCACAGAACAGAGATATAGTCTTTTCTGTTTCTAGCTCCAGTTTTACTAAGTAATCCCATTTCAGAATCAGGAATCCCCTTTATTTATTATTATTATCATTATCTCAATGACCAGGGAGCAATACCTAGAGAATCCTTGACATATGTATTTTATGAATATTTTGGAATAGCTAGTATAGTCAGGCCTTGCTACTTGGTTTTGAATAAAGAAGTACTGAAAATGCCAGATTACTGAATGATTGATCTGTTTATTATAATTATAAAGTGGTTGTTTCTACTGCCTTAAATCCTGAATCTAATCTAGCATAGAAAAACCTGAAAACTGTTTCCTTGATAACAGACAAATTGCTTAATATTTCTTTATAAATAAATCTGTAGCTTTAATCAGAGAATTTTGTCAATGAGGCCATATAGATCATTTAATAAAATTAGCATTTATTATCTGCACCGTCACTTCCTATAATAACTTAAGCATTTACTACAAGTCAGACATCTAGACACTTCACCTTTATTTTCCATTTTATTCCCATTAAAAATGTAACCATTTATATCATGATGATTTATCCTCAGAGAGATGTATCAAGCACCTTAAGATCTCAAAACTTGCAAGTTACAGTGATAACATTTAAACAAGACAAAGTGTATTAACTGGTTATATTACTGCTTCTTACGGAAGACAAAACATACCCAAAGAAATTAAATGCCTTTTTAAAGGTCAATTCTAGGATTAGAACATCCTATGCAAGTCTTAGTTTATTGTTCTTTCAACTATATAATCTTACCTAATGTATGGGGTTTTATATATGAAAAAAATGCTTGTCGATTTTTTAAAAAACAAAGCTATATTTTAATTTTAGATTATTTTACATTAAAATACCCCTTTGCTCTTCTAAAGACTTCCATTTTGGACTACAGCTGTCACCATCCTATTATTTGGTAGATGATTTTTGTTTGGTTTGAGTTTATTTATTTTGTGGGTAAGGACAGAATGCTTACTGTAAAATGTGTTAGCTTCCTGTGCTCTTTCCAAAAGTGGTATCTAGCATTTTTATTAGTTGTTCTCTGTTACTTTGGTCAAAAATGAAGACACAGAAGTTAAACACTAATAAATAATGTTTTAAGATGTTTTATGCAATCCTTTTTTTTAAATAATGAAAAACCTGTTGCTCTGCTGTGCTCTGCTAATATTTTTCAGTCTATTCTACAATAGTACAAAGAAATATGATGCTTTCATTTTTAAAATATTTTAAGAATTTTACTTGAATAATTGTATGCACTTCTAAATTATTAGTTTTATTTTAAATTCACATGTGAATTGCTGAAAATGTTATTCTATATATTGATATTTAAGAAGTTTGGTTGAAAGACAGTTAACAATATAACATAAACAATAACAAAAGTCTTAAGTATGGGGTTTTAAAGTGTAGGTTAAATGTACAATATCATGTACATAATAGATCAAAATAAGAGTTCCAAAGAGAATGCCTTCTATTTTTTTTTTTAAGATTTGTTTATTTATGCATACAAGATCTGGGGTGTAGATCAGAGGTGTGGCGGCGGTGGGGGATAAGGGGATTCACCAGAGATAGAGTGGGAAGCAGAACAAGCAGATTGACTGAAATACACTGCTAATGGGATCAGCGGGTGAGACAGGAGAGGCCTACTGTGCCATGTGGGTCAGCACCCTGGCTGGGGATCAAACTTGTGCTGCAGTGGCTGCCAATAGCTTCATAGTGCTGAGATTTAACTCTTGCACCACCAAGAATGCCTTCTAGATCTCGTATGGAAATTAAGTAAAGCAAGTCACATTGGAAAACATCCTACGCTTAGTACTGGACCATTAGAGCTGGTCTTAGTTCCGATTGGTTGGCAGTATGTTCTAAACCATCTGTTTTTGTGCTATACTGATTTTTAAAATTTGATTACCACATCAACCTTAAGTATCATGTGGTCATGTGATCATACCATTTCATCTGGGAAATGGAAATGAGATCTAAAACTTTGAACTATACTACCCAAAGCTACATAAAGTTGAGGCAAAAGATCCAGGTATATATTCCTGATTTTCACATCTTGTCACACTATCCCTTTATTAAATCAATTTTCCTTTTGAATAGAGTGCCAAGTAAACTTCAGCTTATTTCAAAAGTAATGATAGAATGTTGGGTGATTGTAAAGATATTCAAATTTTGGACTCCTGCAGATCTAAGGTATAAGCTTACCCTTGTGATAGAACTGTTGCATGTTATTTAATATCTACAAACCTCAATTTTCTCATTTATAAAATGAGTAGAACACTTGTCTTAATAGATTACTTTGAAAGTATATTAATAATGTATATGAAACACTAGGGCAAAAGCTGAGTCATAAGAGGAAGTCAGAAAATGTCAGTTTCCCTTCTACCAATCAAAAAATTGATACTGTCACTATCACTATCCCAGCTGATGGGTATACTTGTGTAAAAATCCAATTTATCAAATAGAAAATTTATTTCAAATAGTTTAAATTAAATACATATATATGTACATATAAACATTGTATATACATATATATGGAAAATATATATATATATATTCCTTAAAAGTGGAACCATAAATGCTCTCAAAATACTACTCTCATAAAGATATACAGCATTCATTTACTGGATTTGAAATAGAGAAATTGTTCATTATAGCCATTTGTTCAATGGGGGATAATTTGAAAAATCCATGTAAAATTACGAGCTGTTTTTACTTCCTAGCAATTGCAAGTTAATTGCAAGTTAATTAAAACTTGTTTATAATGGCAGTTTTAATAGTGAAAGAGTTTTATACTCCTAAGTAGTAATCTTTCTTAATACAGTTACAGTTAGGACTCTTAGGAAGTACTCATTTCTTTTCTATTTACTAATGACAATTTCTTGTTGCATTTGTTGAATTTTTCTTTTATTATTTGTTAGCTCTAATTTGTTTTGTTTTTACCTATGCATATTTATTTTGCCCTATATCTATAGTCTTTTCATGTTTAGTTTCTCTTATTTGAAATACACATTCATATGTTAAGCAAACTTGATTTATGACTCATATATTGAGAAACAGATTTTTAAATATTTATTTCCTACATGTTAAATTTTTTGATGAGTTTTATAGTTAAATCTGTCACCCATTTCACCACTTTTCCTTAATGTAATTTTAAAGATAGACCGTACCAGTTAGATTTTTAAAACTATGTACTTTTTACTCTATTGTATTTATGGTTTTAATTTTTTATGTTCCACTCTTCTTCTGTGTCAGATTTGTGGCATTAAAAAATAGAGCCTCTTCTACTTTTATAGTGTTTTGTGTTTTCATGTGAAGTTTTTCAATAATGATGCTCTCAATTTAAACATTATACTTACAATTAACTGTTTCTCAATAGCTAGAAAGATTAGTCTATTAAGAGGCTATATTATTTATATTACTTTTTAATTACTAAGCAGTATAGTGCCATAAACACTGTTGCCTTTGTTTTTAAATTAGTCAACATGTTACGTGTAAGTATACAATTGATTTATTCTTTGTATTTCAGGTTTCCTTTAAACCACCTTTATCAATAAAAGTAGTGTGATTCTATTTGTTTCACAAGTTAACTTTTTCAGATTAAAACATATATTCTAATGTATATTTTGGCTATACCCAAATCTCTGTGTTTCTTATAGTACAAGTTAACATGATACTCTCTTTTGCATATGCTTGAGTATATTAAGATGTCCATTATATAAAATACTTGGGATACGTATATGTTCAGTAAATAGGTGCATGAAAGAATTATCAACTTTATAAAATGAATGCAGTGGATTAAGTGATTTCGGAGGAAGTTTCCAGGTTTATGATTACTCCAAATATGCATATAAGTAAAGATTTCAGTTATAGTAAATATTTGCTCAATAGTAAATAGTCAATCAATAAATTAAAAGGTGAATGACTTTCAATTTAGTTTTACATCCTATATTGTATAGATATATCAATATTTATTGCTTGATATTTTGATGTATTAAGGTGCATGTTGTTACTCTACATAGCCCTCAGAGAAAGTTGCTTTTAATAGGAAAATGAATTGAGCTCCCTATACATTGGGTCATATAATAGCCTTACTTTCTCTTTTTAAAAGTCTTTATTTCCATGAATAACTTTTAAACTCATTACTAAGATTTTGTTAGTCACAATTAAGAGTAGCAACTTAGTATTTGTCATAGAATTATGCCATAATGTTTCTGATTTACAGAGCAGAAATACAACTTGTTTTTATAATCCTGACTGCATTGATTTATTCATAACAAGTACAAATGATATTTTCTAATTAATGTTAAGGAAAAAGTCACTTAAAATGATTCTCATTGTTAGTGTTTTATTTTGGAAATGCAAACTAAGTCAACTTACTCCTTTCCCTTAGAAGTGCTGCCAGTCTTGTGACATTGTGTTTCATTTTGTAACCCATCTGCTACTTAGGCCAGATATGCATTTTCTGGATGCAATCTGTTGGTTTCCAATGGTTTACTACATGGTGGGCTCTATTGACAAGTAGGTAGCAAAATCTTTGGCACACTAACTAGTGTGGTGTCCTGTGGTTTGTCATGTGCTGTGCCCTTGTTGCATGATGAGTGTAATTTACTGTTTCAGTATTGCAAATATGAAAATAGTTTGCATGTAGAGCTTATGTTCTCGTGTTATACATCTTATATTCAAAGTTTCTAAGCAGTAATGTATTATTAAATTAAAACCTATCTTACTGCATGCCAATTTTTGTCAATTTTGTTAAGTTTCTAAAGCTATTTCAGTTTTGTGTTGTCTACAATAGTAGCATTATTACTATTGACACAGTGGTAAAGGAAATCTAGAAGTTCAACATTGTGATTCATTAATATCATTGTCATAACATAGAAATCTTCAAAATAATTTAGAAATGCTCATTGTAGCCGGATTTATGTGTTAGAGCATTTCCTTAAGTGTTTACTCTTCCCAGCAGTATATCAGAGTCTGTACTTTCTAAAATATTTATTAATTTCAGCTCCAAAGTGTGCAGTGCATTAGTATTAAATATAAATTATCTTATGTGCACCAACATATTATTAAAAATTAAAAACTTAAAAGATCATAAAATTGTTATGCTTATAATACACTTTTTACAATTTTAAAAATATCAGCCAGAGCTTTTAAAATAAAATGCTGAAAGTTATCAATTGTGAACATCATCCTGTGGATGTTGAAAAAAACAGTTTTGTAACTTTGAAAGTATTTATTGACTGTGGGTTGGATACCTTAAAGGTCAAACAGTAATATGTATATTTAGCCTCACTCTATGCTAATGTGACTCATGTTATCATTTGTGAGAAATACTAACCAACTATCTAAATGTGGTTAGATGAACTAAAACTATTTCTAAATCCATGAAAGTAAAATCAACCCTTATTTTATCACTAATAGCATTACCTAGATATTATATTCTATTAAAATTCATTAGAAAAAAAAAGTTTAAAAGATAAAAAATAAATCTTCCTTCTGCTCTTTCTGATATTAATTGCAAAATAAATTCTTCCTCTATAAAAGTATTTATGTTAAGGAAAACAACTGAGAGGATCAGATTCCTAGAATTAGAGATGATAGTTATTGAAGCTGGTCATTGGCAAAAACTGTTCTTTCACTTGTGTTTGAAATGTCTTTAAAAGCAGAAAAAAAATAAGCAAAGCATTTAATGGGTTAAAACACTCACAAATAACCCATTATATTTATACATTCACATTTTAGTTCTCCTTAGGAAAGAAAATCTTAAAGTGTAAAAAGTGAGGCATTGCCAATAAGATTATCTGAAGCTATTTTTAATCCATATGATTTTTTTCCTTAGGCAGCCATCTGGTGGCTGAACTGCGTAAAACAACCTTGCTTATTGGCCTCGCTTTGGGTTTCTTGGTTTTACTTTGTTTTGTTTCCTTTCAAATGCTCTTAATTTGCTGATCAATTGTTTATATAAGTATATAATTTTGTTTTTAAATATAAGATGTATTTATTTATTACATCCATCATCAACTATGTTGTTGGAAATATAACTTCTTACCCCAGTATGTGCTATTGCTTCACTCACACTCCACCAAACACCAGTGCGAATACCCTATCAACTTCCTTCCCCTCTCCTCTCTGCCCCCTCATCCTTTATGGTAATCTCTATAATTTTCAAACAACATAAGACCTGCAATCATAAAATACATAAAAGAAAACAGGTGCTATACTCCTAGACATCAATTGCAATGGGAAAAGCACCAGCTTTGTAGACAGGATAAAGGGGAGAAATTATGACAGATAGTTATAACAATAAATTAGTAACCTAATAAAAAAGAAAAAATAAAAAGATAACATTAGAATATATATAAAGAATAATTCAAATTTAAAATATAGAGCAAACATGTTTCTTCATGGTTTAGGAATGTCATTCCAATTTTATGTATTTTCTATGGACAAATCCATTTAATAATAATTACTAAAATTATTTTTGAAGGTTATGTGTCAATTACAGGAGCAAATTTTTTAATATAGAGTAAATTGATGCATATAGTTATAGGGAGCTGTTAGATATTTAACATAGGTATCCTCATAGTAAAAATTTTGTCAGATATTACCTTCAACTTCATTGGTTTATTGATGATGAAATACTCACCTTTCCTATCATAACTTTTATCTCTATATCCTACTCCATAAAGCTTACCTTCTACCACCTTATCTTTCCATTTTCCTGTCTAGATAATTGTAATATTTTTTAAATGGGAAAAAAAATTTGTAATACTGAAATATGAGAATGTAAAAATTATAATAAGGTGGGTTGAAGACATTTTTAAGGCATAATTTTTATGGACCATATCACATTCATTTTCTACCTACCTCTTTCCTTTTTAGATGTATTTTAAGCAATGTAAGAACAATTACGATGAATTTCCTAGATAAAAGGAACACCCAAGTATTCTAGAGATTTAAACTTGGTCACCATATTGGTTAGATGTTATGGCCCTGGCCCCTCTCACCATAGGAAATTTATTTGGAATAACATTCTGTTTCCACAGTTTTAGCCATAAAATCTCTGCCACAGAACATTGTTCCTGATTCAAGCGAAATATTTTTTCTGGACTACTCCTGGGGATCTTGGACTCAAAGCTTTGGTAATACTCTCTCGCCTTATAACAGAGTAAGAAATCCTGCCTCCTGCCTTCCCATGAAAGGAAAATAGTTCCCTCTAACATGACCTGGCTAATTGAACCAGTCATACACTTGGAAAAGATCCTCAGGGAAATGCTTCTTCAATTTAAGGATATAAAAGGAACAGCTGTTCTTTAAGTTTTACACTACCTATTTTAAATCAGAAGATGTCAAAATCAATTAGCCCAAATTATATGTCTTCAATTAGCTCTACCTAAAACATTCTTGTTCAAGTTTAGTGTCCTTATCAAATTCAGTCCTATTTTTCTAATTTGAATTAAGTAGAAACAATAAGAATATGTCTTCCCTTGTGTAAGCTTTCATGAACATTTTCTTTTAATTCAGTGAGAGAATGCTAGGTAAAGTCTTTATCAATGATAGGGGAAAAGTCTGACTAGATCACAACTGATAGGGATTCGTATCCTCATTTATCAATTAATTTATACAGCCAAAGAAATCAGGTTAGCCAATCACTTGCTCAAAAAATAAAGGCTGGCTAAATGAACAGTAGGCTTGAAAACAACTGATCTTCATTTATTTCACATGCTCTTGGCTGTGTAGAACCAATCTATAACAAGTAGCTCTTACACCAAAACATAATAGACATTTAAAAATAAATATTTCATATTTTATATTTATTAGGCTTGACTATCTAAATTACCACAATAATATTCATTTCTATCTCTTTTTACCAAAAGCTCCTTAGGGATAAAAAATGTAGATGTCATGTCTTTGAAATAGTGCATTAACTGAAAAAAATAACAAAGTCCAACATGTTCTATTTCAATTTGATTGCACAATGGATGTACTCCACTTGTTATTTATATCATTCATAATTATTATTAAAAATTCTTAGTGCATATCCTTTTGTACAGTTGAGATTTAATGAAACATGAAGATCCCCAAAACACATATTATTTCATATCAGTACAGAATACTGTATTATAATCCCCACTAACATCTGCTGGTGCACACTCTGTGAGAGCCACCTATAAATGCAGCCATTACAAGTGCAGGGGTTAAATGAGTTTGACACTGATCCTAACACTGAGATTTATTGAAAGTCCATTTTTCTCTGTTGATTTTTATCAAAGTCTAGATGATTTACTCAGGTGTGGAGTGACCTTCGCTGCCAACATGGTAGTTGTGGACAAAGAGAGCACCATGAGTGCGGAGGAAGACTACATGGCCGATGCCAAAACGATTGTGAACGTGCAGACCCTTTTCAGGTAAATATCTGAATAGCCCAGTCAAGTTGTTTACGTAGTGCCAAACATCTGTGGAATATTTGAGTGTGAATGTGTGTATGAGGAATGAACATGAAATTCCTACAATGAATTTATGTTTATTCGTTTAATCCTACAACCATTATCACCACCTGATATGTGACTTGCGTTAGATAAAGTCAAATTTCTAATAGTTCAGGAATGCTCTTAAAAATTAATAGAATGATAAATCTGTTTTCTTGTATAATTTAACAATAGATTTTTTAAGAAATCATGCACAGTAGCAGATGTGATTTCTTGTAGAAAAGGGATATTCTAATTTTGATTGCTGTGCATAGTAGTGACCAAAGTTATACTTTCATATACTGGATAACTAGGATACAACAATTACAAGGCTGTAATTTACCCATGTTAGGAGAAAATTATAACCTTAACCTCAACTCACTCTTTTCCTGTCTTTTGTTAGTTGAATTCACCCAGATAGGAATTCTCTTTATCTTCATCTTCTGGTAAGAGTAAGCAATCTTTACCAGAGGAAAGTACATGCTGTAAGCAAAGTCAAAGTCATCTACAAATCAATACATCTGTGTCATTTGGCAAGATTCTTCCTAAAATGATTTTTAAATTAAAGTATCTAAAAGACTATGTTTTTAGGCATTTTGCTTTGTCTGTTTAGTTTTGCAGATACCTAAGACAGCTTTAAGGCTCTGAACCTCCAAAACATGAAAGTCAATATAAGAATGAATTCTATTATCATCTCCCCTCTACTTTCTTATCATCATTTTGTGGTAAAGCATATGTTGAGGGTTATTATGTACTTATAATTTGAGTTCAGAATTCAAAAGAGAGAGCTACATGAGTCCCGCTTAAGTTGACTATGACATTAAGGCGAATTACTTTCCTTCTCGAAACATCAATGTCTTAATCATTTTGTTTGTTAGCTTATGACTGAGGGGCATCCCGGAGCCCCACACATAAGAAGTACATGCTGTAAGAGGGATTCTGCCATCCACAGTACAAAGACAAAGGGAGCAGACTTTCAGTGTGAAAGATCTTTAATAGAATTATTATAATAGAAAGAGGAGGGGAAAAGTATATTCCTAATAATAATTTCCCATTAAAACCCTTAAAATTATCTATCCCCTCGTGGGCAAATGCCTAGCCAAATATGACTGAGCCTAAGTGGGGACTCAGAGGCCTAACACTTGCCACAAATCTAAGGTACCTTCTGGCAAGAAACCACAAAAAGGAATGAAGGGACTGGGTAAGTCTAGGACAGAAGGAGAGTTGCACAAATACAAATTAGGATAATGGTCTCCATTCTCTCTGCCAAGGACAATCTCCCCATGTGCCTTTCACCCTCTGGTCTCTTTAAGTTCTTCTACATGTCTCTCCTCCCTTTGTCTCTCAAAGTCTCTGGGTGCAAGTCAAATTCAGGGAAGCAAGAACCCCCAGAGCTCACCTGCCTCCTGTGTGATATAGCTTCACCTGGCTGCTCAGCTCCACCCCTATTTCCCAGTAACTACCTTGCTCAGGAAGTAAGTGGGGGAGGGGAAAATGGCACCTCTCCTTCATAGAGGTGTGTCTGCAAGATTTTAAGATATGTATTGGCTTAACACATGCCTGGTAGCCTACATTTAGTAAATTATTAGCTATTATAAATTTTTTAAAGATTTATTTATTTATTTATTTATTTATACAAGCACTGGGTATAGTCAGAAGTGTGGGAAGGTGAGAGAATTCACCAGAGCCAGAGGGGAAAGCAGAGCAGGCAGACTGACGAAGCACACTGCTGAGGGGAGCAGCGGGCGGCAGGAGAGGTCTGCATACCATGTGGGACCCTCGCTGGCAGCTGGGGATCGAACCGGCACTGCAGAGGCTGCAGGCAGCTTCGCAACCCAGCACTCAACTGCTGCGCCACCGGGGAGGCCCTAGCTATTATAATTATTAACAAAATAATGATCACTTTTATGTGACATACGTTGAAACAATATGCTGTAGCAACATGTAGATTTCATGTAGCACAACCATCCCAGAAGTTCCAGCAGACACTAATTCTATGAACTTAAGTATGTATATCTCATCTATAAAATGCATAAAATGATTAAACTTTCTTGCAATATTCATGCAAAAATGGGGAAATCAGAGGCGTAATTAATCTGTCATAACTTCTGGAAAGCCTACCCTGAACTCGAGTAAGAACGTCTTCCATAAGGAGAAATATACTTTCTAAAGTTAGTGGCAATTCATTTCTAATATAGCTAAGTAGCAATTGATCTATATTGAATAGTACTGTTGAGGCCCAGAGGAAATCATCTCTTACTTAGCGGGTAATCAAACAAGCATGATGCATATGTACATGTAAGATGACATAACTAAAAATACTGACTCTGATTAAGTTTAAGTATGATAATTATACCTTTATATAATACAAAAATATTTTAACCTTTTTTGATTAGCTATGGTTTTATATTGTAAAAGAGTCAAAATAGTTTTCCATCTACCCTTTGAGGTTCTTGACTGAGACACCCTTTGTAATTTAAAAAACAAAAACAAAAACACAGACCTCCCTGGTGGCCAGGGGATAAGTCTCAACACTATACCATGAAGACCCACTGGGACGGCTGGCCTGATTTTGATCCCTTGCCATGAGGTAACCCACATGGCACAGCATACCTCTCCTGTTTTACCCAGTGTTCCCCTGTGCAAAAATAAACAAATAAAATCTTAAAAAAAAATTACAGGAGAAAAACAGAAATTTAATAACATGTGCCTCCTCTATACGTGGGAAATATCCAGGAAAACTCAGCAACTCCATCAAAAATGGCCCAAGTCATCACTTGAAATGTCATCTCCAGTGAAAGACAAAAGCAGTTGGTAGGGACTGGGGAAGCAGTTATGGGAGGCTGTGAGGAAAACAGTTAATTAAGGGTAAGGTTGTTAAACAGATTTTACTCCATGCCATCTCCATTGATGAGTTTCTAGAAATTGGCCAACCTTCATATCCTCATATAGAGAGGGAGACACAGGTGGAGATTTTCTGATAAATGGAAATGTCTCTTGCAAAAGGGTAAGTTCTCAATTTTGAGAATTTTTTCTGTGTTTATGGTTTCTTTAAAAAAAAAAAAAAGATTTATTTATTTATGTATGCATAGGCCAGAAATGCAGAAGAGTGGGAGAATTCACGAGAGACAGAGTGGGGAACAGAACAGGGAGCCTGACCAAAACACACTGCTGAGGGAAGCAGCTGGCGAGACAGGAGAGGACTGCTTCGCCATGTGGATCGCTCTCTGGCCAGCCGGGGATCGAGTTCATGCTGCAGAGGCTGTGGATTGCTTCGTAGTGCAGTGCCTAACCCCTTGCACCACCAGGGAGGCCCCTGTGTTTACAGTTTCTTAAAAAATAACTAGCTCAAAAGGATCCCATGTTCACAAGGCATATTCTGGGGCAGTATATTCTGTTTCTTTTCAATAGAGATGAAGTTTTAAATGTAGGAGATGTCTCATATGTATCACGCAGTTGGGGCCCAGGGGTGCTGAGTTACCCCGGGGTACTTGACTTCTACACAGGAAGAATTCTTGCAGAAGTCAGTCGAGTGGGTTAGAATTGAAGCTTTACTGTGTGAGAGGACTCTCTCAAGAGTGAGTATGGGCAGATGCAGAGGAGAGTCATGCCTTGGGCCTTAAGGCTGCTGATATAAATACTTGCTTAGTTTGAGGGGCAAAGGCTAACAGACTGGATGCTGAATGGGTTTTGACAACTTTTGCTTAATAGAGAGGCAGGAATTTACAGATGAGAGAATGGGTTTTGGCCAATTATGTTTATCAAAAGCGCATGACCTAGGCCTAACCTGTTAGATAAATATTTGCCAGAGATTATAGCATATTTATATTTGTTTTAATGTTTATACTAAATTGTAGTCTTACACTGACTTTTCATGTATCTCTTTATGTCTGTAAACCTGTGTATTAATTTAACTCCCTTGTTACTCAAAAACATCATTCCCAGTCACCAGGACAGATAAGAATGTACAGTGTAAAAATAAAAAAAAAAAAAAGAACATACAGTGTAGCACACTAACAAGAATGTAATATTTTAAGATATTGTAAACATTTTCAAGATTTGTATGTTCTTATGTTGTTTTGCTTTAATATGCAAAAGCAACTAGTCTCAATTCTCTCAGTATTCTGTGAAATAAGTTTACAATATGCCTTTTATTTTTGTATTGGTTCACACTGGGCATGTCAAAAATATTTATTAAGAATTAATTCAGGGGACCTCCCTGGTGGCCTACGGGTAAAGTCTCAACGCTACCACCATGTTGGCCCTCTACTTCTGCCTGAGTTTGATCCCCAGCCAGGGAGCTAACCCACATAGCACAGCAGACCTCTCCTTAATAGTGTATTCCAGTAGATCTGCCTGTACTGCTCCCCACTCTGTCTCTGGTGAACCCTCTTACACCCTGTACTTCTGGCCTACACCCCAGTTCTTCTGTGCAAAAATAAATAAATAAAATCTTGGAAAAAAAAAGAATTTTGGCAGAGAATATTTCACTGATATCTTACATCTCATAATCATAATATAAAGTGATTATAAGAAAGCTTTAAATAGAACAATTTTTATCACTTTATTTTTTTATTTTATATATTTTTATATCATTTTTCATTTTTGCACAATATATGTATTTTCATCTTGGTTATAGGCCCCACACAATTCCCACCCCCCTTGTTTTGATCCTACCCCCTTCTGCAACCCCCCCCCGTAGTGTGTCTCTGGTTTATAGTTGCTTGTTGATTTTGATTTTTACTTTATTATAATTAGTTTTTCTCCTGGTCCCTTATTTAGTTTTTCTAAATTCCTGCTGTAAGTGAGACCATCCGGTATTTTTCTTTTTCTTTCTGGCTTATTTTGCTGAGCATGATCCCTTCCAGCTCCATCCATGTTGCTGCAAATTTCATTAGTTTATCTTTTTTGATAGCTGAGTAATATTCCATTGTATATAT